ATTATATATAAGGAAAATTATATAAGAATTGTTATAGAAGAAAAAATTTTAATAATTTTATTTTATTTACAAAAGATTATCACTGATATGTCATATACAAACATTTTATCTCTTCTATAAATAGTTATGGAATGATTCAATAATTTATTTTTCTTAAATTTTCTTTAAATAAATAAGATTATTGATTTAAAAAATAAGCATATTTTTACTCAAATTTTGGTCAGATTGGTATAAATAACTGACCATAGAAGCAATCCTCAATATTACTACAAATCATATTTTAATCATATTTTAAATCATATTTTTCTTATAAATTTATTGAATTTACTATATTTATGCAATCCGTGTCTTTTAAATTATTATAATAGTCTACTTGTAAATACAGAAATTTCACAAACAATTTGAAATTTCTGTATGATTCCTGAATGATACACCTTAAATCCTATTATTGTTAGGATTCCATAACATAATATAGACATAACATTTTGTATAATGACAATATTTTTTATAAACAGTGACACAATTGTATGATAACAAAATATATAATTCAACGTTTAGAAAAAAATGTACAATAAAGAATTCGTCAAGAAATGAAACATGATTATGCTTACCATTTTTGTTTACGCAGTCCTAGTAGGTAAGTATGGATCATAAAATGACAACTCAGTAATTCGATAATAATCCAGATAATATGGAATGATAATCCCTTAAAACAATTTGGAAGCCTAAAAAAAGCAATTTATTGGAATCAAACGCGAATAAATCACAACGTTATACGAATAATTGATGACAAATAACACTTCATGGACTCTTCGATAATATATATTTATTCAAGAAGTATCATTAGATGCTAAAAAGGAGAAAGTCTCTCATCCTGCCCTCTGGTCTAAGTTCCAAAACATGATACAAGGAGACAAGTGATCTTAATACGTTTAATTGCTGCAGCCAATCAGAGCTTGGCTTTTCATTCCGCCATTTTTTGGCGGAAAAACTCAGTTTTATGCATAATAAATAATCTCTCTCTCTCTCTCTCTCTCTCTCTCTCTCTCTCTCTCTCTCTCGTTTAATATCATTTATAATAATTCTTTATATTTTATTATTTTTATATTTTATATTATAATATTATGTTTTACAATCAAAGCTAAAAACTTTTTGACATTCATGTAAAAATGTTCTATTTATTTCATTTTATTAACAAAATAATTTTTAAATAATTTTATTTTTTATTTTATATAATTGATAATATAATTTTCATATAAGAATAATAAATTCATATAATTACTAAAATAATTTTATAATATCATTTTATTTTATTTTTTAAAATTAATTTATTTAAATCATTATTTATTGGAGAGAATACTTAATGACTTTAACAGAAATTTGTCACCTTGAGAGCGTTCCAAAACTTGATTCTGTTAACTCGAGTATCTTTTATCTTTATTCAACATTCGGGGATCAACAAGGATAAAATGATACTCGAGTTGACAGAGTTGAATTTTGGAACACAACCTGATATGTAGCGGGAAACCGAGACAGAAAACATTCTAGATCGCATTGGTTGAGTGTAGGGATTTTGTCAATATTTCGGTCAGAGTTTCTATCATGGAACATGTCGGAATGAATTCCAGTAGGAATTATTCCGTTTTCCCTAGAAAAAACAATAAAAATCTAGGGAATAATTCCAAGTAGATTACCTTCTTTTTACATCATAGTTAACGGTTGATTAACGTAGTGCAGTTAAAAATTTGGTTCAAAAAAATTGTAAACTACTTCTTGTTTTGATTATTGTGAGAGTAAAATACAATTTAGAAAAGTAAATTTGATTTCTTAATCTTTATTTAAGTATCATTATAAAATCTCATTATAAAATGCTGTTTTGAATTTAAGCACTTATTTTGAAAATATTAATTAAGAAAGAGAAAGGAATTCTATATTCACTATGGATAAAAGAAAATTGATATTGAGAAACAGTTTACATAAAGATATACAATCAAGTAATCAATCGTTGGAGAGAAGTGGCTCTAGCAGTAAACAAATAGATTCTTACATGACCAATGTTGCAACACAGGAAAGGAGTCAATCTTTTTATGAAGGCAGATTGTCAGATAGTAGGTCAACAACATTAAATATTAACTCTAAAGAAAAGAATTTATCTATTAAAGGTAAAAAAAGAAGTTTTTGTGAAACTGAGAATATATCAGAAACAGATGAGTGTCCAGTTACCTCTAAGGTATTGAGGACATCCAAACAACTTAATGGTCAAGCATTAGCAAATACATCTTTTAGTCAAGAGAATATTCATTTGTCAAAAAATCGTGTAACGATGACAAATAGGACTTTGGACACTACTAATCCATCTGTAGAAAAATCAGTTACATCGAAAAATAGAAGTGTGAATTATTTATCAGAAGATTCAGCTTCAGATAATAATTTTGACATTTCATACAATGATCGTAACATTGCAAAGAAAAAACAGAATAAAACTGCACTTGATAGAAATACAAAGTGTATTACTTCAGATACTAATATCAGTTGTAGTTCTCCTAGAAAAATATGTCAAGAATCATCCACTAGTAAAACACTTATAGAATTTTGTATTTCTCAAAAAAAACAACAAGATAAAGAATTGCAACCAGTTTCAAAGTCAAATCAGCAGCATCTTTCAAAAGAGCAAGTTTTTCAGGAGCCATCTGTTTTTTTTAATTTTTTACAAAAATGTGGTATCATATTGTCAACTGACATACATACACTTAGTAAGTTTCCTTAGTATATACATCTCTTATTCTTTAATTGAAAATAAGGAAAATTTATAAATTTATATTTTACATGTTAAATTTTTTTTGTACAGTTGTTCCTCCATCCATTGCCAAACGAAAGATGAGAAAAGTATTAAATTCAAAGCATTATCAAAAAAAGGAAGTAATTGATTCAATAGAGGAATATATTAGACATGAACAAAATTTTTTGAATATGTTAAATGATATGGAAATATCTGATAATAATAGTTTCAGTGTTCTAAATAAAATAACACTTGCAAGAATTCTCTTAGAAATTCCAGAAATTCAAGCAGATGTATATAATATGTTCATATCTAAACTTAATGAATCTGTTCTTTTAGTGTAAGTATTAAAATCTATATAATTTTTCTAAATCTGAGTTTGAATATTTTTTACAAATTATTATAATAATCTACTCACAAATAAATAAAAAGATTTTTTTCGTGTATCGAAATTTAAATTAATTGAAATGATTTTGATCCTTGATGAATATGTTTATATTCGTGTGCATGTGTTGTATCTCTGTAAAGGTTGGTACCAAATTAATACAATGTATTAATGAGAAGTTATAATGATTTGAACAGAACTAATTTTCTAATTTTAAGAGGAAATCAGAAATAAATGATTTTCAGTTATTGTTCACGTACACATTTTGGTCCATATATTTTATAAATTATAATAGTTTGTTAAAATTTCTTTAGAAAAATTCTTCTGTAGAAAAATTCATTGCAGACTTTCATTCGTCGAATTAATGATTGTTAAATTCTTTTGAATAATCCTATATTAAAGTTGTAATAAATAATACATTTTGAGATATATCTCTCTCAAAACTAATCCTCTATTTTGATCAATTTCACATAAACATTATTTATTATGATTTATTATTATGAACAATTTTATTTATAATTTTTTGAATGGTTATAATTCTTAATGAATCATTTTTGGACATAAGTTTACATGAACATTTTTTTATTTACTTGATTAACACACTGTATAAATTTAATTTCAATTTTTACAGATATTGTGTATGTGTGTGTGTACACACACACACACACACACACACACGCGCGCGCGCGCGTAGAGTATCCACTCTGCGGATCATTTAAAATGTTACAAGCTATTGTTCCTGAAAATATATTAGACATCAAAAATATATTAGACAAAATTTAAAATATAATTTTGAGACAAATTGTGAGATCATTCTTATAAATAAATTATAAAATATATGATCTTATTTTACACCGACAACTGCGTTGATTTTTATTTTAATTCTGTTGCTTATTATATGTCTTGTGAAATGTAAAATTAAGAAAAAACAAACACATTTTAATAAATACATATTGTATGTATTTTTATATAGAGATAATCTAGATGAGATACCTTGGGCTGTATTATTATTACAGCAATTTCGCTTTTTGGATACTATAACTGATATTGATATACTAACTACAAACATACAACAATTATTAGAAACATGTCCATCATGGTTTCAATGTGAACTTATTTTATTCTTGCCTGATATTTTGTCAGATGCTCAGCATCAGATTATAGTTGAAGTTTTAACGAAAATGTTGGAAGAAAATTGCGAGTTGATAAATGTAATTTTGAATTGTATTGCTAGTTTTAATCTTGGCAAGGAGTATTTGGAAGAATATCAAATTAAAATATTACACTTGTTAAAAACAAATATAAAACTAGAACTTATACCAATTATTATCAGGTACATTTAATTTCAAATTTATTACTTGTTCTTTTAATATTTAGTTATGATAATATAATATATATAATATAATATCTTTTTTTAATTATCTTGCAGATTTCTTTTAAACGATTATGTATGTTCTGATGTTATCAAACAAATGTTGCTCATATTGCGTACTGTAGAAATACAGCCTCTTGCTGGCGATGACGCTGAAAGCTGTTACAAAAATCAAGTACGAATAATTAAAACATTAAAGATATGTATGTTATCAGCTAAAGATGTGACGGATACCACAATAACAGTTATAAAAAATATTAATAAAAATCCAAAACCATTGGATTTAATCATTTTGATTTTAATATATTCTGGGACAATGAAGCAAAAAAATGCAGAAGCTTTGTTGAAACAAAATATACGATGCGGTTTTTACAGGATAAGTCTGCTTCATACGCTTTACAATGATTATAAAGAGGTTTGTATGTTTTGTACACAAAAAAAATTTGTAATTTATCCTTATTTGACAAAAATTACAATTTTATATATACAAGTAGATAAGCTTGATCAGAGAGGGAAATACCAT